CGAGGCCGGCTTGGGCAGCTCCGCATCTCGGTGCCGCAGCCCACGGCACCGGCTGGCTCCGCAACCCGGGCGAGGGCTCTGCTCCTGGCTTTGGCCCCAGGTCTGCTAGGTGACTTCTTTGAGACGTGGGCAGTGGGAAACGGGAGGAGCTCCAGGCTGGGCTTTGCCAGGCTCTTCGTGCCGTCGGAGCCAGCGTAGGTGTTTCTCGGAGGACAGGAGAGCAGCAGTAAGTTCAGAGCCTTCTGCAGGAGAGCACGAGGCATCACCTAGTTGTAGGTTGGGAAACCTGATTCACTGTCCGCAAAGGTCTGTCTCGTACCCGGAGAGTCCAGCCGACTCAGGGGGAGGATTTTCTGGCTGTGGCTAAAGCTTTGGATAGCGGGAGCTGGACCTGCCTGGCCGTGGCCGGGCGCTGCGTGTGGTGAGCTAAGCTGCGACATGGGCACGCTGCTGCAGGCTCTGCGGGTGGGCTGCCGGGGCCGTGATCAGCGCTGCCGCTTGGACTGGGAAAGCGGAGAGGCTTTTCCAATGATTCCTCGGTCTGTTTGCCAATGAACAACCCAGAAAAGTACCTTTCCGGGCTTGAAAATCGGTCCCTGCTGCTCGCAGAGCCGTGGATGCGAGGAAGCTGCCGGGTGCTGCCGGTGGGCCAGGCTCTGGCAGCAGCAGGCGCGGGGGGCTCGTTCGTGGAGCAAGGTCCTGGCTGAACCGGGCTGGTGTGACGTCTCTGAGGTGCCGTGATGCTGCTGGTTCTCCTCCCTCTCGTGTCCTCCACACGGTGCCACCTTCACGACTTGCTTCTCTTTTCCTTTGTAGCCTCCTCTGGTCCAAGCCATCTTCAACCGCGATATAGAGGAGGTGCGGTCGTTGCTGAATCAGAAGGAGAACATTAATGTACTGGTGAGTGCTGCCCAGCCGCGCTTGCTCGCCTTCCTTCACCCACCTCTCCCCGTTCCCTTCCCTGCCGTGCGGTTCTTTAGCAGAGGGGAGGGCAGAGGCTCAGCGGGTGAGATGTGGGTGCTGTCAAGGGGGGACTCTTTTTGGCGAGGGCGGTCAGAGCTGGGGTTTTGAAGATTTCTGGATCCTGCTCCCGGCTCGGCCGCCATTTGCTGTGCAGCTTTGTCCTGTTGCCTCAATCTTACCATCTGTAAAACGGGGCGCGTGGAAGACCAGGTCTCCCGCCCCTCCCCAGGAGACGGCGAGAGCCTCCTAAAGCTCTCGGCCCTGCAGAGCATCGCTGAGAGGCTGTGGGGTGTGTGGGAGGACTTTTCACGGAGGCTCGGCTTTGCTGCCTGGCCAGTTTACCCTTTTCTCCTTTGGGGTGGCGACCCAAAGCAGTTTGGTGTGCGGGGCAGCAGGTCTGCCTTGAGGTGAGGTTGTTCCCCGCAGGGGAAGGAGGATTTGAGCCGCTCGGCAAAGCCGAGTTCACCTCACAGGTGTTAGGAGGGGTTTCCACTGTGCTTGTCTTAAGCCTGATGGCAGAGAGGGGTTTTGATGCTCATTCCAGAGCGGGCTGGGAGGCGGACAGAAGGCGGCTGCTGTTCGGGCACAACACTGTCCTGCGAGCGGCCGGGCTGGCTCCTGGGGGAGCAGCTCTCGGTAGCCCCAGTCTGGTGGTGTCGAGTGTGATCTGTCCTCACGTGGAGCGTGGGGACCCGGCTCCGGCGCGGGAAGGGGTGAAACCTGCCTCTGCGAGTGTTCCTGTCCGACTTGTCGGCGTGCCTTCCCTTGATCTGGTTTACGAGCTTCCCACTAACGAATCAGCGGCAGATGTGCAGATAAGAAACGCGGCTCGCTGCGAGGCAGCCTGAGTGCACCGGCCCAGGTCCACCTGACATGGTGGCACAGTTGGACTGGTGCCGGGTCAGCAATTCCTGCGCTCTCAGCCCAAACGCCGGGCTGAGTTGTGAGGTCAAGGCAAGAGCAGCCTGTTCCGGCTCACCGTCTCCTCCGAGCTGTGGCATTAACCGGGGCTCTGGTCCGTGCCGCTCCCGGCTGTGCTGCAGGCAGCTGCCGGCTTTTTGGCACGCTCCTATGCGTTTCGCCGAGCCCTTCGTCAGGGCGTTTGCCCGACCCAGCCGGCGGAGCGGGGGCCGGTGCCGGTGCACACCCGATCCTCGGCGTGTTAAAACCCTGAGGTCAAGGGCGGGCGCTGCGGACGCTGGCCGGCGTCCCGGGAAGGTGAGGGCAGCCCGCGCGGGTGCCCGTGTGCCAGCAGGACTAACGATTCGATCGTATCTTAGCTTATTACACAGAGATAGCGTGGGGACTTTTTTTTCCATGGCCGCTTCAGCTGGGGACCCGGCAGCTCTTCGTCCTCTCTTGTTAGGAGAGAAGGTTGGGATTGTTTTGCTGAGCTCTCGCGCAGCTGCTGAAGGAATAAAACCACAATTGTTAACACTTAATTTCCTTTTTGTGTGCAGGTTTAGAAATGTTGTTGCTTGTTCAGTGACCTGCCAGCTGGGTTTCACTTTCACATCCTCCTGCCTGGTTGTGCCAGCACGAGTTGTTACCAAAAAAAATGAAACCACCACCATTTTCCAAACCGTTTTTAACCCAATGAAAAGCGATTACATTCCCCCCCCCCCGCCCCAAACACAAAATGTGGGGCTTGAAACGAGTTTTGTGCTCTTCTGTCTCTCTCCTTGTTTGCTTCCTGGCTTTAGTACATGGCATGTTCCCCAAGGAAAGCCTGAACCAAATGCCTGGAGGCAGAGGTTACCCAGGGCTGGGCCCTGAGTAAAGAGAAGTGAAAGGTATTTTTTCTTCAGCTAATTCAATCCAAGATCAGAGAGGGGCTTCTGCGCCTTCCTGCCCTTCAGCAGCCAGCAGGGCTGCGTCTGGTGTCGGGGCTGTCTGCGACTCTGTGTTTTTTATTGTTGGCTGAGAGGATAAAAGTGTGGAGAACGGGACAGCCTGTGCAGCGTCAGAGCGCGGCCAGGCTTTCATCTCGGACCGCAGAGTGCTTTGCAGATATCCGTTAAGCCCAGTAGCACCGGAGGCAGGTGGGGTCGGTCTCTGGGGAGTCAGTGGGGGGATGAAACAAGTGGCTGGAGCCCTCACAGCATCCTCGCCCCGTGCTGGGGTTATGGCCCAGGTACCCTCTGCTCCGGCCAACAGGCACACGCAAGCACCCGCGGAGCTCCGGAGGGGCTGTGCACCCCCGGAACGCTGCAGGAGGGTGCTGGATTTAAGTCGTTTTCCCCCTGTCCCCCACTCCAAGATGCCACACGTGCTTACAGGAGGTGTTGGGGCAGACTGGAGTGGAGGAGGGATCTCCCTACCCTCGAAGCTCATAGATGGTTTTTGTTTCTTCCATCCCTGCTCAGGACCAAGAAAGACGAACGCCGCTGCATGCTGCTGCCTACATAGGAGATGTTGCAATCCTCGAGCTCCTAATACTGTCAGGTAAGGGCCCAGGCTCAGGGCACTTGGCTCGAGCGCTGGCGCTGCCTTTAAGGCGCCTTTCTGATCTCCTCTGGCCTTAGGGGTGCAGAGCAATAGTTTTTGGTCACCTTCCAAGCAACCGTGTGCTCATGCTTAAGCCAGTGGAGTTGCAGCCAGGGAAAGATTAGGAAATGTTGCCATAATCCTAAGAGGTTTGTTCAGACAGAGAAGCGTCTTGGAGCTGAAATAGCAGAGGTGGAAACCGAGCCAGGAGGGGGATGTGTGCAAGGTGTTCAGCATTAGAAGGAGGTGCTGGAGGAGGCTGCAGTGGGGATGCGTGCCTCAGAGACGCCTTGAACGGCAGACGCTCAAGGGAGCAGAGTTTCACTTGCTCATGGAGAGGAGTCAACTGAAAAACGGGATTTTGCTCAGTTTTGGCGTGCGTTACTTGGCATAAAGCTGCCCTTCGTTTCCCTCCAGAGACACTCAGCCCTGTGCGTGGGTCCTGTGCCCGTGCGGTGCGGACAGGGCAGTCTCCTCGTCTGCCGTTCACCAGCACAGCGCCTCGGGGCACCGTGGGCTTCGCAGCTGCTTGCTGGTGGTGTGGAGGAACCTCGAGGCCAGCATGATCCTGTGTCACCCTGACAAGGAGAGACTTGGGGAAATCCTTTGCTGAGGGCTTGTTAAACAGGATTGGGGATGTTGGGCTCCGTCTGCAGAGCATGGGATGGCCTTATGTGCCCTGTGTTGATTTTTTCGTGCCTGCGTGTTGAGTTCTCAGCAGCAAAGAAAGGCAGGGGCTTCAGGGGGCCTGGGACACAAATCTGGAGCTGGGATGGCAGTAATCTGTCCCCTTTCCTTTCTAATACGGAGACGCAGCCCATAGCGACCGCAGCTCCCGACATGAAATGCTCTGTTTTTCTGTCTCAAATGGCCTTGTTTTAAAGCAAGGCCGAGAATTGCTTGCTGGGTCTCTGTTGTGGTTTTTTTTTTTGGCTCAGTGTGGAAACTGGCAGTCTGGGAGATGTAGTCTCTTTAGTCTGTGCCTTGCCATGTCCTGTGCAGTGCACCAGCACATTCTCCCAAGGTTGTAGCTTGTTCCTCTTGCAGTTCACAGGGTCTGTCTCACCTAAAGCTTGGTGCAAGGTCCCCTCTCGCAGCAGAACTGGCACTCTTGCCCGGCGGGTGCCTCAGAGGTGGCTGCAGACCTGCCCTGGGGCAGCGGGTCACTTGTCTGCCCCCTGATCCCTTCTTTTGTTCCTCCTCAGGTGCTAATGTTAACGCGAAGGACACTGTTTGGCTCACCCCATTACACCGCGCTGCGGCTTCTCGTAACGAGGTAGGTTCCCTCTGGCTCTGCGGGCTCCTTGCATGGGGGTGGGGGGCGCTGATGGGAGGAGAGGACCGTGCTGCTTCTTTTTTCCTTCTCTTCTGGTTTTGGCCGAGATGGGTGGTCTCGTTAGAGTGGAGAGGGGATGAATGCATAATTCAGAGGCTGAAAATGAGAGCTGGGAAAAAAGTCTCCTTGGTTCCCTTCCCTCCGTGCTTCAGGAGTTAGCACGTGTGCTTTCCCCACAACATCCTCCTCCTCCCCGCTTTTCCCCCCTTCCCCAGGGCTTTGTCTAATCCAGCTTTACATTTCTTTGAGGGATGATGGGGCTCTCACCCTTTCTCTTGGGAGCTGATTCCAACGGATCTTGCTGGAAAGATTTCCTGACGTTTAGCTTTTGTGGGCTTAACTTCATCCCACTTAACTTTGTCCTGTTTTGAGTTGCTGGAGAGTGAGAAACTCTGTGGTCATGTTGGTTGGAGCCGGGGGATGTAAAGCCCTGACTGACACGCGGGGCAAGTTACCACACATCAACTGGTTGCACGAACCATCGTAATCGGCAGCAGACACGGGATGAAACGCATTAGCGTAAACCTCTACTGAAGGCGTTTGCTGTGAACATGTGTGGACAGTTACTGTGGGTCGCTAAAATACGGGAGCTCGGCAAGCCGAGGCTGTTTTGCTGTCAGGTCTGCAGTGCTGCTTGTCTGTGAATGTGAGCACGCTCGTTTGCTTCTCTGCCTCAGCTCAGATGTGCTGGAGAGTCACCTCCCTCGTTCTGTTCTTCCCCGGCGTGCTTGGCACAGGGCTCTGCTGATGCCCTGCATGCCCAGCTCCGGAGAGGAGCCTTCCCAAAATGCCTGTGTGCTTCACGGCTTTTCCTGCCTGGAGGCTGCTCTCTAGGACTGCCGGGGTTGTGTACTGCCCAGCCGTTTCACGTGCTTCTCCCAGCCAGGAGCAGTATCAGCTAGCCCTGGGGCAAAAAGAGCAGAGCAGCAAGCCCTGGGGCTGGGATCACTGGAAGCGCTGCCCCGATGCTGCGTGGAAGCGGGCAGCCCGCAAAGCGTAGCAAGGAAAATGTGGGGTTGCAGAAAACAGCCTCTACCAGCAAAAGGGGGAAATAATTATCGAATATAGGTCAGTGGGTCACATTTGTCATCCCCCAGGCGCTTCGCACCTCGTGAGTCATGGATGAACGCTCACTTATAGTTAAATGGTGTGGCTCGGAGGTGTTTCTGCCGTGCGGGTACCCCCATGCAGCCGTATTTCACAGCTGCAGTCGGGTGGGATGAGCCCGGCTTGTTCAGGTCCCACACACCGAAATCCAGCCTGGAATAAGCTGGAGCAGCCCAACTGAGGGTTGGAGGATTCGGGTAGGGAAGATTCCTTCCCCCTGCCCATTCTTGGAGCCTCTCTCATGCTGTCTTTACCTCTCTCACCCTTTCTCTGTGATAACATGCTGAAACACAGCCATAGGCGGGGGCTTCAAAATGTCACTGTGGACATGAAAACAAACAGGTCCTTTCCTTCGATGGCGTGGGGAGAAGCCGTACCTGTGAGGGTGCGGTGCGGTTTCAGCTCAACCCCCTCTGTCTCTGGGGGCTGTAGACTGGTGTGGATGTGGGCAGCCCTGTGTCTGCTGAAAGCATGAGTTGGACCGAGCTGCAGCCTCCCCAGCCTGGCTGGAGAGCTTCTGCGGGCTCCAGCAGGTTGGGTTAGAGCTCTGCTTTCCTCTGCTCCTGCTAGAAGGCACTTCACCTCCTCCTGAAGCACTCGGCAGACGTCAATGCCCGCGACAAGTATTGGCAAACACCTCTGCACGTCGCCGCTGCCAACCGGGCCACCAAGTGTGTGGAGGCCATCATCCCCCTGCTGAGCACTGTCAATGTCGCGGACCGCACGGGCCGCACAGCACTGCACCACGCCGTGCACAGCGGCCACCTCGAGGTAAGGCGAGGCGGGTTGGGGCAGAGGGGACCCCGTGCATGTCCCCCTTCCCGGGACTGGGCTTCACAGGTGGTGAAGGCACTTGTGCCTGCGCAAGCGGGGAGGAATTGCAGCCTTACCTCTCACCGCTTCTCCCCATCTAGATGGTGAACCTGCTGTTGAACAAAGGGGCCAGCCTGAGTACTTGCGACAAGAAGGAACGCCAGCCCATCCACTGGGCAGCTTTCCTAGGTAGGTTTTCACCACGGGCTTCAGTCCGGTTTCTTCTCCCATCTTGCTCGCTGCCTATGGATTCACCTTTCGGGGCGGTGGGGCTCCCCAGAGGCTGCTGTGCCCACGTCTTCATTTTCTGGGGTCCCGTGGCTCTTACCGCTGTCTCCCGGACAGGGCATTTGGAAGTTCTGAAGCTGCTGGTGGCCCGAGGAGCTGACGTGATGTGTAAGGACAAGAAGGGCTACACTCTGCTGCACACCGCGGCAGCCAGCGGCCAGATCGAAGTCGTGCGTCACCTGCTGAGGCTGGGAGTCGAGGTAAGACCCCCGCGGCTGCGAGCAGGGTGGGCTTGGGTGCAGGCCAGTCTGGAGCCAGGGGTAGGAGAAGGTGCTGGATGGCGGCAGGAGCCCCGGCTGCTTCTCAGGTGCCTTTTTTTCTTCCCGAATCCCCAAATTCTCTGGGGTTCGTTGCTCCCACAGATTGATGAACCAAATTCCTTCGGTAACACTGCACTTCACATTGCCTGTTACATGGGCCAAGATGCCGTGGCCAACGAGCTGGTCAATTACGGCGCCAACGTCAATCAGCCTAACGAGAAGGGCTTCACCCCTCTGCACTTTGCTGCCGTCTCCACCAATGGGGCCCTGTGCCTGGAGCTCCTCGTGAACAACGGGGCCGATGTCAACTTTCAGGTCTGGCACTGAGGAGATGGGGCTGGGGGCTGGGGGAGCAGGGACCCGCTGCCTGACGGCAGAGCTCGGGGAGGGCGGTGGGAAGCCTGATGTGATGTGGCTTCTGCTCTCTGCAGAGTAAGGAAGGGAAGAGCCCTTTGCACATGGCTGCCATTCACGGACGGTTCACGCGTTCGCAGATCCTCATTCAGAACGGTGAGTGGCTTCTTCCTCCGGCCCTGGGTTACCCCAGCCTTTTCTCGTGCTTCTCAGCACCTGCCTCCAGGACCTCCCTGCGTGTTTGCTTGGAGGGTTTAGGAGCTCTGCAATTATCACACAGATTCGCTTCTGTGCTCTTGGGGCTGTTGCCGGTGGCCCTGTGCTGCTTGGGGATGGCAGGGAGCGTGCCTGCCCTTAAGGGCAGCAAAGTGCAGACCAGGGGGCCGAAATTCCAGCCAGGTCAGAGCTGCTGCAGCCAAAGAACTTTCCCACTGCCACGTCCAGCCTGAAAGACAATATTCTTGTAAGAGGGCTGCGGGCTCGGCAGACGCCTGAGGGGTTCAGCTGGAGACCTCCGGGGCTGAATGCATCCCCTCCTGGGGCAAGGGGAGAGATCTAATGCCCCGGGTTTGCGGGTGGGCTCCCAGCTCAGAGAGCAGTTTACAGTTCTGCTTCTACACGCTGCTGAGCGAACTCGAGTTATGAACCGTGTCCCTGAGACGGGGACGCAGCCGTCAGAACAGCCTGGGCTGCTCAGGTCTAGAACGCAGAGACTCGGTGGCAAAGCACTCGGCTTTTCCTTTCTAGGCAGTGAGATTGACTGTGCTGACAAATACGGCAATACCCCCCTCCACGTTGCTGCTAGATATGGCCACGAGCTGCTAATTAGTACTTTGATGACGAATGGTGCTGACACTGCAAGGTAAGGAAAGTCTCTTCCTCCCTTTCCCTGCCCTGGGCCGGAGGATGCAGAAATGACCCATCCTGACTCCCTTCTCGTCTCCTGGCAGGCGTGGGATCCACGACATGTTCCCTCTGCACTTAGCTGTTCTCTTTGGATTTTCAGACTGTTGTCGTAAGCTACTTTCCTCAGGTGAGTGGCTCGGCCGCCCCTCCTGCAGCGGGGGCACTCGGGGGACCCTCGAGCTTCCCCCTGACTCCCCCCTGCCCCTCCTGCCCCCCAGGTCAGTTGTACAGTATCGTCTCCTCGCTGAGCAATGAGCACGTGCTGTCTGCAGGCTTCGATATCAACACGCCTGACAACCTCGGGAGGACTTGCCTCCACGCTGCTGCTTCTGGAGGGTGAGCTGTGCGTGGGGCGCTGGTCCCACACTGCGTGCAGGGAGGTCGCCCCCAGCCCAAACCGTAACCTTCCCCTCCGCCCGTGAGCTTGTGCTTTGGTCAGGACTGGGAGTCGGACCCCTGGGTGCCGTTTGCAGCTCTGGGAGAGAGCGGAGACCTGTGTTTAGAGTAGGAATGAAAATGGAAACCCTTTGGCCCTGTTCTGGCGCTGACTCTGTGACTCATCCCGGTCACGTCCCTCCGTGGCTGTTTACCCTTCTTTAAAATGGGGCTAAAATGCTTCCTTGGCCGGGAGTTCGTAAAGGGCTCGCAAGCCGATGCCTGAAAAGCAGCAGGGATTTAGCTGGCTGTGTAAACGCCTCGTATTGTTTGCCAGGGAGTTTGATTTCACGCGGTGCGTTGAGAGCGAACGCGGCTGCAGCGATACGGCAGAGGTGCAGAGTCCCGTTGAGGTCCTCGTTTCTGTTATGTCTGTGCGATGCTCGAGAGCCAGTCGCGGAGCTGTCCCTCGGCATCGCAGCCCTGTTACCCTGCCTGAGCGGAGGGAACAAAGCACTGACGCAGAAGCCAGAAACCCTAGATCTTGTTTGTAGCATAAAATCCAGTGCGTCAGCTGCACTAATGCCATGGCTAATGTCTCTCTGTAATTGCCTGCTTGTTTGAGAGCTCCGCGCAGTGCGGGATAGCGCTGGTAAGGCAGGAAGCACGAAGGGTTATTTCACTGGAGAGCAGGGAAGAGCTTTGTGTGCGCAGCATCCAGCCACGGCTGCGGCTCTTGTGCTGCCCAAAGATGAGAAACTGAGTTGAGCTTCGGCACGTTCAGGCTGTGCGGGTGAGAAGCGTAGCTGTCTTGTCTGCAACTAGGAGGAGTTTGCGTTCCTGCTGTTGTCCCTTCTGATCCATGTCTAACTCATCTCCCTGCCTCCTGTAGGAACGTTGAATGTCTTAATTTGCTGTTGAGCAGCGGTGCTGACTTGAGGAGGAGAGATAAATTTGGAAGGTAAGTGTGCTGTCGGCCTTGCAAGGGAGCAAGGGTGATTCCTCTCTCCCTAAAGCAGCTGCAGCGCACCGAGCCTGGGTTCGGGTAGGGACGTTCCTAAGGCCTTTGCTGCGGTTGGGGTCTCAAGCTGCTCCCTTCACCCGCTCTCACCCCAAGGCATCCAGCTCTGGCTCTTCAGAAGGAGCTGCTGACCCAAACCCTTGAGCCGGAGCAGGGTGCAGCTCAGCGGCGGGGTGGTGGTTGGCTCCCCGCGTCCCGCCTTGCTGCCAGGCGAGTTTCTCCATCTGTGTGACTGTCTCTCCACCTGCGCTGCTAAGCCCCCTTCTCCTTTCTCCCTTCCCAGGACTCCACTGCACTACGCAGCTGCCAACGGCAGCTATCAGTGTACGGTGACACTGGGCACGGCAGG